TTCCTGTGACCCTCATGTTTAGTATAGATTTAGTATAGGGTCTCTGCTTCATGTTTCCTCTGTTCCCAGGTCTGTCATGTTTCCACGTCTTAATGTGTAGTCTGCATCATTGTGAACTGTCTCATGTTTTCTGTTTTACTTTGGCGAATCTTGTGTCCTGTTTTCAGTGTTTTGCTTTCACGTTGTCTTCTGTGCATATTTAGTGCGTTAACCTCTGTTCCTCGTCTGCAGATCATCCCCTGTTCATCTTTTCCTGCGTTCCTCTACCTGTGTTGCCAGTTTTCAGGTTTCCTCATTCCTCACACTTTGTTTCAGGTTTCATGTTAGCTTCTCCCAGTGTTGTTAGTGCCCCTCGCTAGTGACTGTTCCCCTCACTAGTTGCTTTTCTAGTGCTAATAAAGGCTCGTCTTCAATTTAAACATTCTCCTGCATCTATTTTGTCTGCATTTGGGTCCACATCTCTCGTCTCCACACGATTTGCCTCACAAATCGTGACATCGTCTTTTAGAGACAAATCTAACATATTAAAAGATACGGAGTCATTAAATTCATTAAAGTACTGTAGCATCATGCAAAGAGCACATTTCACAATACAACACAAAATGCAAAAATGCAGAGAGGAAAGACTGTCTCCTGCAATCTGGTCACATGAGGACACACACAGTGTGGTGTTTGTTATAGTACCTGTAACATTAGAATCAGGCTTGTCCATGGCAGTCACTTTGTACATCCTTACTGACAGACTGGAAGCACTAGAATTCAACTTATCCACTGCATGACGTAATACATGTTGGAAATGAACGGCTCATCACTACAACATTGGAGAAAAACCTCCGGGTTTCACCACCAGTATAGCTTTCTTTTAGTGTGTCCAGCACAGTGGATGTGATGGTATTCATGTCGGCTTTAGAGAGGTTTGTTTTGAGTTTGAGCAGAGCCGAAACATGTTCTTCACTGTTGGTGACAGAAAAAAGAAAAGGTTATAAAAAAAAGATGTGACTTAATGATTATGTTTATATGCTGTTTATCATTACAAAACCAGAGACTCTGAAATAAGACTATCAGTGGAAGTACGTCAAATAATAAGTCTGAGCACTTTGTCAGTTCACTGGTGAGTTGACTTGCTTACTGTTTATGAAAATGTATAAATTCCATGAGATGCAAGCAAATAACTGATGTTTTCAGCCAAGCTTAGTTTATATGAATATATATGCACCATGAATCCATATT